TAACAGGCACTTTAAAATATATTAAGAATAGATCTCATGTTCAGTGTTCTTACAAAAAAGAAAGGGAGAGAGGGACAGGAAGAAAGGAAGGAAGGAAGGAAAGAAGGGAAGGAAGGAAAAAGAAAAAAGGCACAAAAGAACACAAGGAAATTTCTAGAGGTGAAGGTTTAATAACTTGATGGTGGTGATGGTACCATGGTGTGTGCATATGTCCAAACTCATCAAATTTTCTATGTTAAATACGTGTAATTTTTGGGATATCAACTGTACCTCAATAAAGCTTCTAAACAAAGCTAGGAGGTGGAGAAAAAGATACACATTTTTTTTCTCATTATTCACAGTAGTTAAGTTCTACAAAGTCATTGCCAACACTGAACTGGCAAATACTGAACCACTGCTCCTATGGGAAATACAGGGTTAGGTTCTCGCCAGCCTCTGGTCACAACATTTTTATTAACCACCGGACTCACTTGTTTTCTGAGTGTTTCTGTTTAAAAAGACACCTTATTAAGACATACTCATTCATTAACACTGAACTCACAGTCAACAGGACTATGACTCATGCCTGAATGAAACTTGTCCAACACACGTCTTTCCTCTGTAGGATGCATCACCACCCCGCACTTAAGAGCACTCCACACTGCTCTAGGGGGTCATTTTAAATAACAAAATCACCAACAAAAAAGCATGAAAGGACCAAAAAAAATGGCACAAAATATACTAAAAGAAGAACATGCGTGTTGAGTTATGAGGGCTGGAACAGGAAGGCAGAATGTCATCTGTGTGAGCTCTGCTGGACTGTGTGCATCAGGCCACTCACGGTTGTCACCACTCTGGGCATGTCCGCAAATGGCCTCAAACACTCCATGGGTACTGATCGGGGGGTTATAAATAAATTTGGCTATTAGGCAAATTCACAAAAACTGAATCTGCGAATGATAAGGACTGGCTGTACTCTGGTTAGCAGCGGCTGATCACCTGGACCGTGCTGTGCCTGGAGACGGCAAACTCCTTTCTGTTACATGAGCTGATGAATCTCCTTCTTCACTCAAGCCCGCTGGGGTTGCTCTTCTGGAACAAGGTGGTTCCACGGCTGCTCTTTCCTCTAAGGTCTCTGGGAGGAAGGCACTGGTGCCCTCCAACCAGCCCTAAGAACCCTCTAGAATCCGCAGAGTCCTCAACATCCCCGCCACCCCTGCAGAGGGAAAGGTCCGTCCTCCCCAGGCATTGTTTTTGGAGAGATTTTCCAGGTTTGCTTCCAGAGCCACTCAGCTGGAGGTGACAGATCCCTTTTACCTTCCTGCCAAAGTAAGTCCTTGGAAGGAGTGAGGCTCCTCTTGTGAGCAGGAACACCTCAGCAGGGTCCCCCTCAAGCTACGGCCAGTTCGAGTCCTGGAGAATGAACATGCTTTCTGCACAGCTCTTGAGTTTCCAAGGGCCATTGCTGCCTCCCTGCCCCTAGGCCGTGCCAACCACAAGGAGGGGTTCACAGGAACGGGGCCCAGCAGGGGCCTGGGCACGTGGCCCGGAGCCAGGGACCTGGTGTTAGCTTTTAGCTCCTCTCCTCCGACCTCACACCAGTTCTTAGATTGGTGGACTAAATGCTATATTGGGCCCTTGGGCAAGAAGCGGAATCAGAGCCGGAAGGGTCCTAGGAAATTTCTTCTAGGCTGAGAGAAGTACAGTGAGGGTCAGAGAAAAAGGAACTTGCCAAGATCGCAAAGTGAAAACCAGAACCGGGCTCCTAACGCCCTTTCCAGCACTTTCTTTATCAGCAGTGCTGCTGCTGCTGGGTCAGGACTCCACCCATTTCCTTTCTCATCGTTACATCCCAGTTTTTACTCACAGACAAATCAAATGACTGCGCTGGCCCACACCATCTCACAATGCTGGGTGTCTGTTCTAAAAAGATTTCAAACATCTGACCCCCTCTTCATTAAACCTCTCCAGCCAGGGGAGAAATTTAATTCCACAAGAAGAATCCATCATCACGCCCACCCCAGTTACTGCAACTCTGTGCAAGCATCACCTCCCTGGGGTCCCCAAGCCGGCAGGGGGGTCTGCGGGCCCCACTGTTGTTAGGTGTCTGGCCCCCTCCCACTGTGCCCACGCCACACCCCACGTGCTCAGTACAGGCCGCCCTGCAAGTCCTGTGGGAGGGACGTGGACTCAGTCCTGACTGAGAGGCTCAGAGAAGGGGAGCTCTGCCGGACCGAGTGGGCCAGGCTGCCCTCATTAAATCGCCCCCACCCTAGCAGGCCCTGCCTGGCTCTCTGGCCCCACTCCCCCCTCTCCCACCCTGACTCCCCACAAGTGGGTCCTGTCACCTCTTTCTGGGCCTGAAACCAAACATGCCTAAGGACAGGAGGGCTGAGAAACCCTAGTCCAGTATCGAAGGCATCAAACCATCCCTGAGGTTTTTTATTACAAGTTTTTATTACATCTGCACTTTGGGTGGTTACGAAGCCCAGCTCTTGCCCAAGGGCCCGGTCCTGGGGGCCAGTCCTGGGGGCCAGCAAACCCCTAAGGCTCGCCCTAGTGGCAGCCCGGCTGCAGTGAGCTGCTCCAAGCTCTCCCTTGCTGGATCAATAAACTTTTCTGTTGTATCTCCTGGGAGATTCCCACGACACTCTCTGGCTCTAAAAGAGACCGGTCCTCTCTACTACCCTAGGGACAGGACCCACCTCTCCACCCCACCTTCTTCCTCCTAAGAGGGGCCTGGCACAAGAGCTCAGAGGCCTGGTGATTCACTGGGTCTTCTTCGGCAACTTGGAGGACCCCCTCTACTACACTAGCTCTAGCTGCCCGGGCCACCATCCAATGTTCACTCCAAAGACATTTCTGTCCAAATGTGGTTCACACTATCCGTTTAAATGCTACCAGACACATTAAGATTTCCCACAGACAGAAGTGTCCACCCAAGTCCAGTGAGCCGGTTAGCTAAACCCTTGTCCGGAGCCTGACCTGCCCTTGACCATCACTTCCCCCACCAACTGCCCCAGCTGGGTCTCCTGACTGGTTTCAGAAAGCCACATCCTGTGTTCAAATCCTGAAGTCTGGAAAAAGACAGCTCTTTCCAGCGAAGGTGATTTCAGCTGTCACACCTACACCCCCTGGCTGATTTATGTTCACATCCCTCATGGATATTTAACTTCACAAGTGTGTTCCTTAGGATTTCTACAGGGAGTTCTCCAGGCTGTGGGATGCCAGAGCGTATCTTTCTCTGAGTCCGTTTCAGCACCTCTGCTTTACAAGCACATAAAGCTCACTGCCAGGTCACGTGTTTCAGGAGGCACAGCGATGAGTACGGCGTAGACTCTGTCCTCACACCTTGATCCTTTATCTTCTTCCTCCCTTTTATATGTCATTGAAAACCAACACTGAGAAAATTATCATTATGGATCAGAAATGGCTGTAATCCTGTCACTTTTGACAACCTTGATTCAGTCTTATCACAGATGTTATGGGCTGGACTGTGTCATCCTAAAATTGAGGTGTTGAAATCCTAGCCCCCAGGACCTCAGAATGTGACTATATCTGCACAGAGGGCCTTTAATGAGGTGAATAAAGTCAAAGTCAAAAGACTGGGGCCTTGGCCCAACAGGACTAGGGTCTTTATAAGACGAGAGAGACAGAGGGACACCGGGGGCGTGTGAACAGAGGAAACTCCACGTGAGCACAGAGTGAGAAGGTGGCCGTCTGCAGGCCGAGGAGAGAGACCTCACCAGAAACCAAAGCTGCCAACACCTTGATCTTGGACTTGAGTCTCCAAAACTGTGAGAAAATAAATGTCAGTTGTTTGAGCTGCCCAGTCTGTGGTCTTTTGTTCTGGTGGCCCTAGACGGCTAATTCCATGAGCAAAGCACTGCCTCATTTATTCACCAGGCTTCTGCTGAATGCCTGCTGAGTGCAAAGCACTGAGGGAGGCACTGTAGGCGGACCCAGATGTAAATGAGAGTCCAGCAGCTCTCAGGGTGGCAGGGAGAATGCACTGCACAAACAGATCTACTATAAAGTGGGATGCAAGTGTTGTGGTATAGTCAGCTCCACTGCAACACTTGTTTGGAAAATGCAAATTTGTTCCAATGCCATTAATATACTGCGGGACAATCTGAGCAGAATGCAAATTTTGTGTTTGCTTACACATGATTTCATCTGCAAGAAATACTGGATGAACACAGAAAACTGTACCCAGCTGAACGGAGCCACACAGGAACACATAAGACGCACACACTCGGGCACACACCAGCTCCCTCAGTTTACCATGTGTGTTACGAGCCACACCCATCTGTATCCCGTGTTAGGATTTTGATTTCCGCCTGATTTCACATGATTGTCCTTGCACCATTTCACAACAACAGCCAAGTGGCAGCTCTTCCAAGGCTCATTTCCACAGGTAACCTTCAAGTCAGTTTCAAGGTCAAGTGTCATATTTATGGTAATATTTACAAATTTCTTAACCATTTAACGTGTAAAGCTGTGCTCCCATTTTTTAATTAGGTTGCAAATTTTTGAGCGTTGTTTTCCTAAGCTAGGCCTACTTTCCCCCATAAGCCCCTGTGGTTTTTCATTTCATGATTTTGTACGCTGCAGTGATTTTTTACAACGTATTTTGTGTTACAGCAGCGTTGACTGTATTTAAGTGTTTCAATAAGAAACTTCATTTCAGGTAAGTAAGGCCTGGGAAATAAATGTATGATCAGGTTCACAAATAATTAAACGCTGGAGGCAGACCCTCATTGCAGAGCATGCGGCTGTGACTAATGTGTCAATGATGCCTCCTGGGGCAATATTCCCTAATTGCAGGTAAAAATAAGAAAAAATGATAAATTAAAAACAAATTTGTAAAATGTTACAGAATGAATGAAGCCATCACACAAGCTAAGTCAAATAAGTCCCCCAATTTTAGGCAACTTCTTCTGGCCTCCAGCTTCCTGATCTGATTAATAGAAAAACTTTTCTCGAGGATCAAACAGCGTCACAGAGAGAGCCGCACTGACCTGTCATCGAGTTCTCTGACGTGCACAGCTGCTCTCTCAGCTTCTCCACGTCGTCAGGATGCACCTGCTCGTAGAGGGTGCTCCCGAACCACTCTGACTGCGGCTGGTTCAGAACTGGGGTGACGGAGTCAGACACATAAATCACTCTCCCTGTCTCAGCCGCCACTACAAACAGAAATCCATCAGCTGCTTCCAGGATGAGATGCTTCAGTTCCTGGGAAGAAAAGATCATGATTAGGACCAAGCAAGCAAGGACAAACTCAAGCCAATTAGCAAGGTCTTAGCAACCTTCGACTTCCATTCAGATATTCACTGTGATACACAGACAGGTTTGGAAACTTGGTTTTCATTGGAAAAATGAGCTTTAAAAATGCACAAAGCTTATTCTAGCCCTAAGATACAATAATTCAAGACACTGTTAGCCCTGTTTTAACTAGCCCTCTCTTAGGGACAGAGGAAATTTCCAGCCCAGGGGAATGAGAGAGCAAAGAGTGATCACTAGAAGGTACTGGGTTGCCAGAGGCATGAATGGCCTCACCTACCTATTCAAACTGCAGTCATGTCATTGGAGCAGAAGGGCCCGGTACACACGGTGCTCATGGAAGGGAGGGATGGATGATGGGAAATGAGAGGAGGAAAGGGACCACGTGTCTCCCCAGCCACCACCTGCCACACTGCCAGTGCACTCTTATTCCTCTTCTCCTCCTTACTTTCTGAGCTGAATGCTGGCAGGGATATCAGAGTATCACCTTCCATCTGCATGTCTGTCAACTCTCAGGACTCTCTGACAGCCAACATCTCAAGAAACTCTGAGAGTAATCCCCGGAGGTGGCAGGACGCCTTGCATGGTTCATGTCACTTTACGGTGAGAAGAGAGGTTAGTTGCATCAGCCCTGGAGTCACACTGACTCACAGAGCTCATGACTGTCAGTAAAGGCAGGAAGGAAGCTGCCTGGGATCAATGAATGGGTGGCTTGAAGCTGTGCCATCATCCGGAGAGGGACAGAGATGCGGCCAAATCATCTGTGTTAAAATGAGATGTCTTTTCTTTGCAGTGCCCAAAGGCAGCTCAAGTGAGGCCGCCTGCCCTGTCACTCACTTCAAGCTAAGGAGCCCTTTCCTGCTGAATGAAACGGGCTCCGTTCCTGCAGGAGTTGGGGAACTATCTCTTCCCTGTGTGCTGGAGTCCACGGCCACCTCTCCAACCACCCCAGACACTGTTTAGGCCCCAAAATACAAAGGGATCCTTCCGGTCAAACACTTTTTGCTGGGAGTCCTTTGTTCACGTGTAATCTTACGTGGAAGCCCCACTATAACTAAGACTAACACAGACTAAGGGCCACCTGTGTGGAGGCAAAAGACAGGACCTGGGAGCATCTGGCTCCGCCCTCAGTCCAGTCCCTGGTGGGGGCTCGGAGAACCCAGAGGTTAGCAAACGTGGGTCTGCTGGTGAGCAGAAGCTGGGGAGGTTTGCAAGTGTCTCCGAGCCCTTGGCTGAGTCAGAATTCTAACATCCTCTGCCTGGGAAACTGGACCGCACAAGCATTTTTTAAGGAAAAGTTTATTTTGTCCATTTCCCTTGCTTGGCACTTCTGCTGGTCCGCGGCACCTCGGTGCTCGCTGTGTTCGGAGGACTGGGTCAGCAGCTTTATTTTCAGTATTGAGAAGATCTTCCCAACAGGAAGGACTGTAAAAAATGACACAGATCGTCTGGGAAAATAGAGAATTGTCTGGGAAAACAGAGAATTCCCTGGTTCTGGAGGAGAGGAAGCGGACACTGACGACTTCATTTATGTTTTCATAGGTTCATCCTGTTTGCGAGGACTGTGGGAAGGGCTCACGGGACAGCACCTCACCCTCATCACAGGCCCCTCGTTCGACACCCTCCCCCTTGACTTTTGTCTTCTGGGAGCACATCACTCGTGACCAAGGTCCTGCGCCCTGAATCCAGAAGGAGCTTTGCCTCTATTCCCCAGTTAAACCAGCAGGGAGGCTTAAAAGCAAGGAGACCGTCAGCTGTGCTCTTCCACTTCGCTGCTCAGCTCTGGCTCCTTATTTAACGTCTTCAGCTTCTGTTTTTTTCCACACTTTTTTTCAATGAGATTTTGTAAGGTTAATGAGACCTTGTGTGTGAAGGACTTAGTAAAGGCTGGGCGCACAGCACGTGCTTAATACATGTAGCTGTTACCATCAACAACCTACCAAGGGACCGAGAGAGAAATACAGGGAGGGATGCATCTAACTTGCAGAACTGCCTTCTCTCTTCACTCCAATTTCTTAATCCTTAGTCACTTAAAGATAAACACATTAATTTTAAGTTTTGACCCAGCAGGATTTCTGCAGATTAAAGCAATGCAGAGAAAAAGGTTTTTACTGACCCTGTGGTTAGAAGGTACATAATTCATTTCTGTCTGCTTACCTACCAGCGATTCATCCTTTACTGTACTCCAGCCTCGGGGCTAAACATTTTACTCTGTTGCCTTCCCTACCCGTGACCACCATCCAGTGAGGCAGAAGCCATCCCTGTGTTCCTTTCACAGAGGTGGAAACAAGGTTGGCTGGGCGCCGTGCCCCAGACCACGGTCCTCCATGGCCTCCCAGTGATGGTCCATCCACTGCCAGACCTCCTCACACCTGGAGGCAGGAACACGCGGGCACTGGGATGACTAAAGTCCTTGCTGAAATGTCTACCACACAGTAATAAATGTTAGCTCCTCTTCCCTTGCTCTTTTTCCAAATCCAACTCCCCTGACATGAAGAGATTCCTCATTCCAGCAGAATGAACGATTCTGCGTCTTGACACGCCCTCCTCACCCATTCCTCTGAGGCTCACCGTTCTCATATCCAATCTCTTCCTTCCCCTCTCTTTCTATGCACATGCTGGGGCTCCTCCACAGCCTGCCAGTGCTGTCTCTCTCTCTCTCTCTCTCGACCTTGACAACACCTAACATTTCTTAACTGCATCCCTGACAACACATCACTTTCCCTTTCCCCTGCCTGCACCATATACAAAGTGTTTTCATCGTCCCATTTATCCCACAGACGCCCTTGGATTCAGAAAGCTCTTGTTCATCCACAGATGAGCAACCAGAAGCTGAGAATGTCTGCCGATGTGCGTGCACAACAACTGACCAGCACACAGAAGAACAAAGATCCGTAACACAGGCCTTCCAGCTCACAGGACGGTCAAGTTGTACACTACTTCCCACTATATGTACAGATATACAGTGGAACATTACTCAGCCATAAAAAGAATAAAATAATGTCATTTGCAGCAACATAAATGGACATTGAGATTATCACTAAGTGAAGTAAGCCAGATAAAGGCAAAGATCATGATATCGCTTATATGTGGAATCTGAAAAAATGATACAAATGAATTTATTTACAAAACAGAAAAAGACTCACAAAGGAAGAAAAAAAAAGAAACAGACTCACAGACATAGAAAACAAACTTATGGTTACCAAAAGGGAAGAGGCGGGGAGGGATAAGCTAGGAGCATGGGATAACATACATAAACTACTGTACGACACAGGGAACCATATTCAGTATCTTGTAATAACATACAATGGAAAAGAATCTGAGAAAGAATAGATTCATAGACAATGGAATTAGTTTGCTGTACACCTGAAACTAAAACAACCTTGTAAACCAACTATACTTCAATAAAAAAATTACTTCCTACTCACCATTCTGTGTGTTTGCTCCACCCAACTATGCAAAGACCAAGAACAGCTGTTAAAAATACAGCTTTGGGGTCTGGCCAGCCTGTGGCGACCCCTGGCCACCACCGAGCAGTGGGCTGCCGCTGTCTAAGCCTTCACTTCCTCGTCTCTAAAGCAGGGATGAGTAACAGTGGTTTTTTCTGAATTTAGAATAAGGAGTAAATGAAGTCATGCACAGAGAGATATGACTTCGACTCGGCTCAGGGTAAAGGCTGGCTAAGTGCTGGCTGGTAGGATCCTTGTCACTAAGATTGTGGTGATGGCCACCAAAACCTTTGCTAGGACTATCACCGCCACTGCCATTCTAGCACACGAGCACTGTGGTGTTGCTGACTTTTCCCTGTGTCAGCATGCTGAGCACATCGTTCAGACAAGCAATGTCTTTTTCTGAGAGACACTGGAGATAAAAGAGCAGAAGACACAAAGTTGGACATTCCCCTGAAGAGTTTCCTAGTGAGCGACGTGTCTTGGTTTCACGCCCAGCTCAGCCTTTCACCCCATTTCCCCATGTAGCTTATCTCATCTTGGTGACACAGTCATCCCCTCTCCCTCCAGCGACGCCAGCACCAGGGGAGAAGGGAGCACAGGCCAGAGACGAACGGGGTACCTGCTCTGTCAGGAACGAAGGCTTGTAGGCGCCATCCGTGGACTTGTTCCCCGTGCCCCGCATGGACTTCATGTGGGAGACGGCCATGCGGAGGATGGTGAGCTTGTCCGGCTTCCGGGCCAGCGCGCTGCACGTGGGCACCATGTCGGACAGCTCCGTGATGTACTGGGTCATCTTGTTCCGACGGCGCCGCTCGATCTCACTGTGGTTCTCTCTTCCCGAAAGCACAAGATCAGGAAGGGGGGGAAAGAGAAGGGTCAGACCAGGGGTCACTATCTGATAAACGGCACGTCATTAACGCCTAGTGCCCAAGAGACAGACTAACCCGTAACGGCCAATTCAATGGCTAATTCAACACATCTTGGACAGAGCAGCTCCCTGACACCTTAGCAGGGTCTGCCACGGTCTGTGTGTGTATAGCGGGAGAGGGCAGGGCACAGGCTTCCACAGAAGCCCCAATCTCACCTCTAAACATGTACTGAAATCTTCTTACTGTTCCATGTACCTAAGTACCCTTTAATAAGCATAAAGAATGAAGACTTTATTCTCCAGGCATCCAAAGTGAGCCCAATACGCTTTCCACATGAACCCATGAATCCATACACGCTGGGTGCGCACACACACGGGCTGGAGTGACCATCTGCTTGCATACGTGACTTACTTTGATTTACAGTCAGAAGCACGCCTCGCCTGGACATCCTTTGTGTCACTGAGCAGACAGCCATGCCACAGACTTAATTCACATAAAGTTGCGAACAAGCCTTTGCACATTTTCTACAGCATAGTGACAGGACCGGTGCATCCAGCTTATTAAACAACAGAGAGCCAATTAACAGCCGAGCATGGCCAGGCATGACCGAAATCAGCCTGGGTGATGTGTTAAGTGAAAAACTAGTAAAAAGGGATGGCAGACTGTTTCTGTCTCAGGATTGTCACCTCTAGGCTTGAAAGAGTAACAGCCCACCCAGTTCGATGACACTGAGACAAAGTTGTTCCTTAGGATAGAAGAACTGTCTAGAAATACATCACACATCTGTGGTAGGATTTAGGGTTTCACAGGTGCTCAAAGTATGAGGGCGACACTGAGAGCAAGAAAGGAACAGCCCCCCGGCAGGGCTGCCTCACACACCGTGTGTGTGCACTATGCCTCGCCCCCGCCTCCCAGGCTGGGAGCAGGTGACAGGCAGGCCTGATTACAAGCAGGTCGCATGTGACCATGCAAACCAAGGGGGAGCAAGGCTGCGGGGAGCTGACCTGGGCACCCGGTGAGCACCTGCTGTGGGAAAAGCCCTGAGCCAAGCACCCAAGGGGATGGGACGAAGGAAGCAGGGAAAGTCCCACTCCTGTCCTCAAGAGTTTAGTTAGGCTGGTCAAACATCACCTCACACAGTGGAAATGAAGACAGAATGTGATTAAATGCTCCTAAAGGCACAAGGAAGTAGGAGAGAATGAGAGGAGAGGAGGAGGGGGTCCTGGGGTGACCAGAAGGAGCGGGGAGGAGCTGGGAGGGAGCTGGCCCTGATCTGGCAGCAAGTAAAGGGGACATGTTCTGGGAGGAGGATCAGTAAGGATCAAAGAAAGGGCTGCAACCGGGACGGAGCATTTGTGGGCAGGAACAGACAGGCCCGGACGGAGGGGAAGACCTGGGCTCGGGGGAGAGGGCCGAGGAACCAGCAGCAGAACAGCCTGGAAGGGCTGCCAGACCACAGAGGGCGCTGCTGCGGGGGTGGGCCGCCAACAGGGCCTGCACCTTCCACGCCCCTCTGCTGGCCTTGAGGGGGGCTCGGAGATGGGTGAGTCCTGCTGGGGGCAGGCAAGAGGAGCCAAGGGCGGCAAGCACACGCTGAAGTGCTTCCTTCCCTCACACGTGGTCTGCGTCAGACCTCTTCTAAATACCTCCCAGGTCTCTTTTACCCTCTCCCAGCCCACGTCCGGTGCTCCCGGCCCACGCCCGGTGCTCCCGGCCCATGCCCGGTGCTCCTGGCCCACGCCCAGTGGCTGGTACCACATCTGTATCCCCTCCTTCTCATCTCCTTGCGACCTGCCTCCCGCAGGCCAGTCGTCTTTCTCCAGTCTCATCACCCTCAGTCTGCATGCTGTGGTCAGACGGCTATTTCTAAAATCCCAAATCCAGCCCTTCCTCTCCATCCCTGCAGTGGTGCCAGAACCTACAGAGCCAAGTTCAAGCCCCTGACGAGCTACCACGGCAACAGCTCCAAGACAGGACCCAGGCACGCCTGCTTATGATACTACTTCCAAAAGAGCCACATACCATCTTGCTTTGTAAACCAACAGTGGGAAAGGTCTGATTCAGGAAAGGTCTTCAGCACTTCTCGTGCAAGAGAAGCAACTGTTCCCTCCAGCCAGGGTGTCAGACTGTAGGAGGAGACCCTCTGCAGAGGAGCAGGCCAACTGGCCTTCAGGGTTCGGCTGGGGAACAGGGGGATCTCGGAGTAGGGTGTCCATTCAAGTCCTTCCCAGCTGGCAGCAGCCTCCAGCAATACCAGGCTCATGGCCTCTCCTCCCCTCCCTGACACCAAGAGGGAGACTGGATCTTGTAGCTTTTCAGGGCACACCCTTCCTGTACTGGCCAGCCCTTCCTAGGCAGCAGGGTAGGGCACTGTGAGAGCCAAGAAGGCCCGAGGCAGGCGTGGCCACAGCCCCCGAAGAGAAGACCCACAGAGATGCACCCAGCTGGGCAGCTCCCCGCGCCCAAAGCTTCTGCAGCAGCAGCAGAGGATGCCCCCTCCGTGGGAAGGAGGCAGGCACCCTGCCCCCAGGAGCCACGCAAGGCACGGTTTTCTGCAAAGCAGCTGTAAGGCACCCACATAGTTAGGCTGAAGATGAGGTTCAGGCAAAACACAGAGAGATGAAGTCTGAGAAAGCCCAGGTCCTCCTAAGAGGGGGCCCAGGCCCAGCTTCTGGTCACCCCCGTTCCCAGGGATCACACTTCCTCCGTGTTGCTACCGCTTACCTCCGGCGCACAAAGGCCTCTCTCAGCCATTACCGCCCTGCTCCGCACAACCGCCCTTTGGGGAGGAAGACCCTGAGGCTCACAGAGGACTGACTCACCAGGATGTGAACTAGGCTCCTTAGCCGAGCGCCACCTGGTCTCAGAGTCAGAGCTGGAACGCCGGGTGACACTGACGGGCAAAGATACCCAGGGCTCTCTTGGGGGGGAAAGGCCTGGAGGCTTCGAGAGAGACACAGGTCTCCCCAAAACTGTTTCCTCCCCTTCTCCATCCAGTCCTGGTGCTACCTGGGCACCAGCAATTCAAACCAATGTTAATCTCTGTGTGAGAAAAGCCGAAGGCACTGGGGACCTTAAACAAGGGGAGAAGGGCATCAGAACAGCAAGTCAGACACGAGAGCCCAGCGTCTACGAAGGGGCGACTGGGCCAGACAGCAGAGGGCTGGCTCCACCTGAAGTGGGGTTCACTCCCAAGTGTCCTCAGCCTAATCCCAACCCCAGCCCCCTGAAATGGCAAAAATGTTTCAAACTAAACTCCCTAGTAATGTGGTTGCTCACAGGCTGCACTGTGCCCGGTCCCACCCAACTTCCCCGCCAGCCGTTCCTGGTTCGCAAGAACTCAGGATGTCGAGGCAGGAGGAGCGTTTGGGAAGGTCGGCAGTGCTCATCCTGGGTGTTTGCTCTGCAGTGTCAGAAGCTCAGCTGAAGCGCTCCCTGCTCTAAACAGAGCCCACATGGCCAGTCTGGGCTGTCCCCCACAACGTGACTGATAAGATGAGGACCCGCAGAAAAGGGTAAACTTTGCTCCCTCCTGGCCGTCCTCTCTGCATCAGAAGTACTTTGAGCATCTTCCCACCTGGAAACAAAACGCCCAGCTCTCTAAGCTAAGACGCACAGATTGAGAATCCTGGGACATGGCAATCCTTTACTTTTTCTGCTGGGAAAGATCTCTGCAGGACATGCTCACTTGGCGTATTTTTACCTTATCAACTGGGTTTTGATGATCATAGCTATAAATAAAATGGGGTAGTACATTCAGAGGGAAAAATTAAAACTAAAACATCACCACAACCTAGAGAGCCAGAAAAAAAAGATGCCCACAAGTGTAAATACTGTTCCAAACCAAAAGGAAATATCAAAATGCGTGTGATGGAAAAGGAAACGTCAATTCTGAGGAAACTTCCCTACCGTGGACATCTTTACTTCTAGATGATGTTGGAGGCTCACTGGTGAAGCCCTACAAAAGATACAGATCCTTCTGGACTGATACCATCAGGTGCCACCGTGTCCCCAGGGAACAGGCAACAGTCACACAGATGATGGGCAGAAACTGGGGAAAGTCAGTGAGAACCAGTCCTCAAAGGGTGAAGGGTGACAGAGAGGCTAATAAAACCCACCAACAAGGACTTTTGATTCCAAGTTTGTAGACAGCCCCACGCACTGTAGCTGGATTCACAGTCACAGGTGTGAACCTGTCTGTAAGGTCTCCTGCGGCTTCTGAGAAAGGGTGCGGAATGAGTGGGAACACGGCAAAATCAGGTTGACAGTATGACAAAATTAAAGGTTTGGGAGTGAATACTTGGTTGTTCCTAAGTTATAAATCTAATGCTTAAAGATATTTCTATTTCTTAAAAATATTTCTATTTTTCACAGTTCCACTCTTCTATTCTAATGAACATTACACACATACACATACACGTGTATGTACAGATGTGTCCGTCACATGAGCAGTTACATGATGTGTGACTTTGACGCTGCTGCTGACGGCTCTGGGATGTTAGCTGTCCTACTTACGAAACAGTATTCAGGACGACCTCTGACCCCAGCTTCAGGCACGGGGGAGATGCTGGGACTCACTAGATTATCGACCGGGGGCCACTCAAGCAGGAAGAGCCCTGAACTGCTCAGCATGATGAACGGGTTCTGGCCCCTCCTGGTGTGTGGGGACACAGGATCTGCTGGGCAGGACAGACATCCACCTCCGGAAGTCCAGGCCCGCCCGCGCAGGGAGGGGTTGGGGCTGGGGCGTGTGGGGGCTCACGCCGGCCTCCACCAGCCAGGGAGGTTCATCTTCAGAGCAACACTTTCCGGTGTGTAATCAGTTTTCCCGGAGGTGGAGAGCTCACCATCTGCTGATGGGATGGTGACTTGATAACTGGAATTCCTGGAGGCGTGAGGTTGAGCCCAGCGGTCTCTTCCAGGCCCAGCCTGGGAAGAAAGGCCCCTCCAAACCCCCGTTCCTCTCTCATCTGTGGCCAAAACGTCTCCCCCTCTGACACTCAGACATCCGTCCCTACCACCCCCTAGGCTCCTGGTGATTGTCATCATTGGCCGCCCACGCAGACGGTGGGGACGCTGCACAGCCGTGCCAGGGGGCACACAGCCCACCTTTCTGCCCCATCACCTCTGCCCCTGCCGCCTCCCTCCCCCGCCAAGCCTCAGCCAACCTCTCCCAGAGCTGCGACTCCCCACCACCTGCACACAACCTCCACCTCTCCTGCTCTCCAGATTCTCACAGAATCAGAACAGTCTTCATTCGTCTGTAGTGGCCAGAGGCTCACTGGTGCACCTGAGAGGGAAGTAAGGATGCTCCGGGTTGAATTCCAAGGAGGCTAATGGAAGGTGGCTTGAACTCGGTGTGGAAGGAGAGCTGAGGCCCTGGGATGTGGCAAAGCGGGTGGGCTTCGGGGCATTTGGAGCCCTGCAAGAGGGGATCCCAGAACGCGTGTGTGTGAGCATCTGCGCGTGCATGTGTCCGCACAGGTGTGTGTACGTGTGTGGCGTGTGGGCTCCTGCACGTATGTGTCTGCACGTGCATGTTCAGACGGCAGGGGGCAGCTTCACGCTGCTACTTTGTTCTATCCGAGGCCTGCTGTGATAAGGCAGGAACCAAACCAAACTGGCTCTGATTTACCTCCTGTGTGACTGTGACCGTACTTCCCAAGTCAAAAATTGAGACATGCCGCCTGATGACAGGTCGGACAGTTGAACTGGAGACCACACTCTAGAAAAGCTAGGAAAGCTGGTGCACAAACATCAGGGGACAGATCATGGCACAGCATTGTGGCCAGATTCTGAGGCAGCAAACTCTGCTGGTGAGATGCCCACATCTCAGCCACTCTCTCTTCCAGGGCCGCACTCGAGGGGCTCGCTTGGCTGACTAAGCAGAGGAGCAGGAAACGGAAGTGGCCCCGAGACATGCCGTGCCCACCACTGGCAGGAGGCAGCCTGGAACAGCCTCTCCAACCCTCCCCGGACGGCAGCCAGAGCAGCTGGCAAAGTGGAGGGAGGGGGGGACTCGCCTCTCAGATCACCCACCGGCTGATGGGTCCACCACCTCTCCTGCTGCCATAGACTAAAGTGGCCCCCAGCTCCCACAAACTCACCCCCACAAGCACCAGCCTACGTTGGAAGCACATCCCATTTCTCCCTCTTATTTTTAACATGCAGGGGAAAGGAGAAGGTTCACAGAAGCCTAGGTCTGAATCCTGACTATGTAAAACCTGACTCACTGATGGACTTAGCTACCCAGAGTCTAGGGTTTCTGTATCTCACCGATGGGACCTCATACAATGAGCTCTCTGTATCCCCGCACTGTTATTTCACCACTGACACTGATCTTCCATGTCAAACTAACGTCACTCCTCGTCTCTCTCTTCCTCCTTCTGTTCTGAGACCCAGGAGCCATCATTTCCTGAGGTCAACATGGTATGGAATGTTATCTCAAGGGGAATTTTGATCCAGAGAGTTCAAAAGTCATCGTTTCCTCATAAAGGGAGGCTGTGTAAGGCGAGAGCAAACCGCCCTTCACTCCGGGGCCAGCTCCCTCCCAGGAACAAAGCGCTCCCTCCTACTAAAACTTATCCTAAGAAATGCGTGGACGTCCAAGCTGGGGTTCTGTCTGCACTGAGGGGAAATCATACTCGCTCCTGCTGTTGAAACTCAAGCCTCATTTTGATTAGAAACTCTGGGTCATCAGAGATCAAAGCATGCTCCACCTCCGCTCTGCCGTCTCACCCAGGCCGGCGCGGGAGGCTGGAAGGTAAATTTCTCAGGGAGAAAACACATGAAATGACAAGGCTTTCTGTGGACTCGGAGGCTCCGGGAGGCCCTGGACTAGTAATAAGATGCATGTTCCTCTTGGATTTGGGGAAAGTGTGTTTAATTCGCGACCACAACACAGGTAAAAGGAATCCAACCAAAACCAACCGCCGTGGGGATGAACAAACCGGGGGAGGCCGTGGGTCCAGGGCTCAGCACGGATGCCGTTCTGAAAACCTCCACAAAATAACCGAGGCTGTCAGTCCAAACTGCGGACTGTGGGTACCGAACAAAGGTACCTGTCGCCTGGGGTGGGCTTTGGAAGTCATCAACAACCAGGAATGAGGAATGCTTGGATGGTGGAGAGGAATGTCGAGGGAGCCCCTTCTGTAAGTAAACTGAGTACAGATGGGAATTTTGCTAAGACTGATGGAATGATCTTTGCCTTTCTCTCGACGTTGCTAAACTTCCTACCATAAATTAAACAAAACAAAACAAAACAAAAAGAGCCGTGGGACTGGGCCTGCTTTATCCTTCACGTATGTAACACATACACCACCAGCAGCATCCTTGGTCCAAGATTCTTCTGTGAAGTGGTCCATACTCAGTACAGCCCCACAGAGCCTAGTCAGAGATGCTGTCATGTGGCCAGTGAGTGATACAGCTCTTAGGAACTCAAAACCCAGCTTCATATCCTGCATCTGGAACAGGGCCACCCAGGTTTCTATTTCTCCTTATTTTCCATGGTAGGAAAAGAGGCTTTATCTTGATTGTTTTTCTAAACTTGAACTCTAGGTCTGTCTTTTAAAAAGGAATCCATTAAAGTTGGCAGTCAGCATTTAATTTAAACAGCCAACAGAACTAATAACTGGTTACTTAACTTTTGATGATCTCGGCTGGGATGTGGCAGGTTTGCTAACAGTTATTTGTCCCCGGGGCCAAATACTGGCACAGAATGAGGGACATGTGAGGGAGTCAGACTGTCGGCAATGGCTTTTTTCAAGGACAAGAGACATTTAAATCCCTGTATATCCCCCTGAGGTGATGATAACTGGCCATTGGCTTCTTTACATCTCAGGAACATAAAGCGAACTCACCTTGAAAATTTGCTGGGACCTTCGCCATCTTCATCATCGAAGTCCATTCTGAAAAGTCGAGATCACGAGTGAGCATTTGTTACAGGTAGAACACTAAACTGGTAACATGAGCTGCTGGCGCAGAGGGGGCTATATTCGCTTGGGCCGCTGTCCAACAATTCCAACCCTTGGCCGTGCAAAACACAGTATCTCCACACACTCATCAAAAAGGTTTGGGACAAGAAAAGGCAACATGAAAGGTCTTCAGTACGAAGGCCATTAGTTATAGGGTTGGGGACTCTTGTAAAAGGGCTGAAGGACGGCTCGTCCACTCTAGAGCCCTACGCAGGCGCCGGGGGTTGCTTAGGCTGCGCTGAGAAGTCAACATTCTTCATCTCCCACCATTTTGGGGGATACCTGCTCCCCTCCACATCATTGATTCCACACTGAGACTTCCTTCTTTAATTTACTTTGTGGAATATTAACAGACTAAAAGAGCTCAAGGGAGGCTCAAAAGCAAGTTTTAAGGGTGATGACAGGATTGTGAGGAAAAGAAGACATTCTGGTTATGTCATGGGAGGACTTACTGGTCTTTTGGGGGGGTCATTGGCTCTATTTATTTATTCATTATTAGTTTGTTTGGTTTTTTTTTAATGGAGGTACTGGGGATTGAACCCAGGACCTCGTGCATCCTGAGCTATACCCTCCCCCCGACTTGACTGGTCTTGATGAGTCAAAGTGAGAAGGGCACTTAAGGCCATTCTCCTATAAATTCCAGTTCCAAGTAAATGGATGTGGGAGGAGAAACAGTCATTTGAGCCTAAGCTCCTCAAAGTGGCTGGCTGCTTGTTGAAACTCACCAAATAAATACTCAGATTCCCACTTTACTGGGCCTCTCAAAATAAACATAAAACAGAGTCTTGGTAGTTATTTGTTTAACTGATATGCCAAACTCTCCTTCTCAAAAAACCAAAACAAAACAAAACAAAACTGTCCCCTTATAATGTCAACTAATTTTACCCCACAGACGTGAGGGAAGACTGTGCACTTCATGAGTACAGCGTGTCCCCAGAGTCCTCGGGGACACAGTGAGAAACAGTCCAGACGTCTTGGTTCTCCTGGACACTCAGGGGTAGCGGGGCTCCTTGGGGAACAACGTCTCAGAGCCTCGGCATTCCCTGCCTGTCTTGTTCTTAGTGGGACTGATGGACTTACGTGGGGCACGGTTCCCTTGGACCCCAAGCAGAAGGGAGCCCAGCGTGCCTGGCAGCCAGGATAGAGAAGTTCCTTCTCAAAACAGCTCAGCACAAGAATGGCATGTAAGCTAAGAGACCGAAGTGACAGATTCCACAGATGCTGGCCCCCCAGGCAACGTGACCCCCACCCCCTAGTTCTAACGGTGGGGCTCAAGGGGGGTAGTGGGTGACGCAGGGCACTGGGCACTGAGGCCATCGGGAAATGGCCAGGTTGCATAGGAAGAGCCACCCCTGCTCAGCACATGTGAGAGGCCCCAGTGAGATAAATCATATTTTCTAGGCTTTTGGGTAACTTGGGGGACCTAGGGACTGGGATCACATAGGGCAAAGGAGCACTTTCCTCTTTATAACGGTATCATTTGTCTATTTTTCTATTGTTTTATATGCAGTGTGGCCAGAGTTCTAATCTGGCCATCAGGCTGTTCGGGACGGCCTGACGGGACCCACTGCCAATTTGGAATCCCTGATTTGCAGACACGACGGCTTTACACTAACTGCTAGGAATAAAAGAACAAAAGGAGTTAGACAATTGGGAGACATGGCAGTAATGATAACAAAAATACCTCCGCACAAGGAGAGGGGGAGGCGGGAAAGAAAAGTGATAAGGAAGGAAAAGCGGAGTTAAAAGGCCATCCGCACACCACGGGGAGAGACGGGCCTGCATCCTCTACAACGCAGACTGGAAAACCGGGTGCCAGACGACAGCCACAGAATTGTCTATGTTGTGGGAAAATGGGGGCCAAATGCATGACTTTTTAAATGAAGTAAAGTCATCAATATTCTGCTTTGTTACCAAGCTATCACCTCGCCCTTCCTGAAAATTACATCTGGGAGATAACCACCAAAAATCCTGCGACCAGAGCCACTGGGCCTTTGCAGAGGAACAGAACCACACTGCCACCCAGTGTTCGTCACGGGTAAGAGCAGCTTTGCTGTAGACATGAAAGTTACTTAACACCCTGGGCTGTCAAAAACAGCTCAGTGTTAAGAAAAGAAATCGCATTTTCAAAATTCCAATGGATTTATGCAAGCATTGAGCAAAACCTCAAGTGGGTGTGAGATGTACAGTTATCTGCAAAATGCCTTTTAGCTCGAGCTGATGTGAGTGTGATAATCCGGCTCCTGCAAGATGTAATATACTAGTCAGCCCTCCCTCCCCAGCCGGCATGATTTTGGGGTATTTGAGGTGACCCATCGTCCTAATTTTCCCAGACTGAGGGGATTAGTGGGGCACAGGACTTCAGCGCTGAAACTGGGAAAGTCCTGGGACAACAAGGAAAGTTGGTCACCCCAGTTTTCTTAAGGACAGCTCAGTTCTTCGCCCGAATCCTTGGGCAGCAGACAGATGGGGAACTGAGGTATACGGTTAATGGTCCCAGCCTGGAGCAATTCAGCTCAGTCAAAGGGTACAAGGGAGGGACGGCCAGGCCCTGGAGCCAGAGTTTTCTGAAGTCCGCTGAGAACTAAGGAAGCAGGATTTGTCTACGAAAAATTCGGGACCACAAAACTGTGCCTTCCCACCTGTGCAAGCGTGTGATCACATGTAATTCTGAAAAGCTTGATGTGGGGGTGAACTCAGGAGAAATCAGGACATGAATGACTGTTCAAACCCTCAGGGTAACTCACTTGACCCCAAAGCAATCTCACTGCTCAACAGCCACACAGAAAAAACGCAACTTCTGAGGACGGAAGGACCTTCTGGGGGAGTACTTGCCCAAGTCTCTGTCACCACTTCAAATGCGCCACTTTAAGTATGACTACAATAGCTATGTTTATTTCTTCTGCTATAAAGACTCTGAGCAAATCATCCTTTGTTTTATGTCTTTTATGTGTCTCTACTGTATCGAAGCATCTGGATAATAAAGGAGGGAGATCAAACTATGACTTTTAAGTCCTGTTGTATCCACTTTACAGAATTCCGTACAACAAGTGGATGATGTAAGAGTCCTCAAAAGGTGGATGGAAAATGCGTTTTACCTCGCTTTCCTGTCAATGAGCGTGAATTCTCACCTCGGCAGAAAGCCGTGAGGGGCGCTTCTGAGCTTGCAGCTGGCTGGGAGTGAGTCATGTGAATCTGCCTAGGAGGGCCTGTGTCATGACAATAATAATAATTCAGCATCAAGCATGAGTCATCAAAGAGAATTCACTTATGCTCTTATGAGAAAAGATGAGAGGTCATGCCAATAAGGCTGGTTCCAGAGCGGCAGCAAAGGAGGGCCCCTGGGCCAGCTTGGAGCTTCCGCTGACAAGGAGTGAAGTGATACGGATGCCCCCGAATGTCCTTCCTCCAGAGTCGGGACCATGCGGCTGGTGCTACAGCAACACAAACCAAGGGGAACAGGTGCCGATGTAATCTGCCTTCTATTTAACCACATTCCAGCAGCCGTGGGGCTACACTGCAGGGAGACGTCGTTCAACTGGTTGCACAAAATTTGGAAATCGTTTCCTCAGTGATGATATTTTAGGAGCCCAGCAGTTGACCCTAAGGCAGCGGGGAAGGGGCTGGTATACCCAGTACCCGCGACCTTCACCCTCCCTCCCCAACAAGGCGGGCACAGCCTGTCTAACCACAGCCACTTTACCTGTCACTTTGAAAGCACCGAGTGTGCCCAGCAGATGTCCCCCACCACTCTCCACCCCCTCAATGGGTCAGAGAGATCGCTACAAAAATGCAATTCAGGTGACTTGCTTCAGCTCATTGCTCCCACACATGTGGAATCACTTTTCAAAGAATCTGAAACTTCTGAACCTTCACCTTGTGTCCCAACTGCTAGCAGAACACGCAGCTTGCTAAGATGCTCGCTGGGGAGGGCTGCCGGGGGAGTGGGAAGGACATTCAACCAAAGGACCCACAGTGCTGGGCCAGGCATGTGGCCAAGGGGAGCCAAACCCCGGGAGGGGTCCATTCTGCTTGGCTCCGAAATGCTTGGGTGGGATGGGTGGTCATCCTGGGAATCTGGGACACATCCCTCCACCAGAATAACCAGGTCAGAGCGGGGACTAGGGAGTGGGAGGAGGCTCTGGCCGCTTCCATTTCCCCCCTCCCACCACCCCACCTCCTCTCTCTCCTCTCCGTCCCTGTGTCTCTCCAACTATGCCCCACACTCTCCAGAGGAAGAGGAGGAAGAGCACCTGGCAGCACTGGGGGAGGGGGTGACAGGTAAACATGCTGTGGTGGGGGGAGCCTGCCGTGGGGGGCCCTGCTTTTGACGAACGTGACTTCCATCAGGGTCTCCTTTGTACCAAGTGTGTCGGCTGTGGTCAGAGGAGTGTTATCACTGCTGTCACTGCTCTAGAACAGTGGTGGCCTTAGTCACAGAATTTCAGCAAAGATGTAAGAATTACTATAGAAATGGCCCTGTAAAAATGGAGGTTAGACACAGAGGATCCGTCCCTAAGTCACAGGGGCTCAGCAGAAGGAGCCATGGTCTGCTTGCTGCTCCCTCTGACAGGGAAAAGGAGGCAGGCACGTGGGCTCCAAGCACGGAGACAAGAGCACAGGACTCCTGGGGGAGGTCAGCTCCCTGATCTGCCTTCAGGGCTCAGCCCCCCCCCCCCCCGCGGTGGGGCAGGGCGTCCACAGGTGCTGTTCGCCCTGTTGCTTCTCTTCTTTCTTTTCTTGGTGTTGGGCTTCCTTCGTTCTAAGCGGACCTGAACTCTAGGCTCTGTCTCAGCCCGCCCCGGGTCCCCCTCTGCCTCCAGCGTCATGCAGCGCATGAGTGATCTGCTAGGGAAAGCGACCGCTGGGAGGACTTCTCCAGAAAAGGGGGCTGAGTCCACCATCCGGTCAGCAGCTCAGGGAGCAAGCAGAGGTCAGGGTCTGGGCGCCAGGCTGAGGTCAGGAACACCGAGGCCAAGGAGAGGAGCAGCCTCAGCTCCCTGCAGCCCAGGCCTGAGCAGGGTGCAGACCCAGCACACACCCTGAGGGGAGGGGTGGCAGAACCTCCTGGCAGAGGCTCAGAAACGACCCCCTACACAGACAGGGCTCCTGGCCCTGCAAACACCAGGCCTGAGCATCTACCCCATCCTGTCCTTAGCCCAGCCCGCCTTCCTTCATCAAAGAGTCCTGTGCTGGCTTCTTTTTAAAAAGGATTGGGCAAGCAATGGAGCTTTGTCCCCGGGGAGGGGAAGCTAGGGAGCACAGTTATTTAAAATAATTTTAAAAGAGCTGGAATCTTGGGGAAAAAAACTCGGTAAGTTGATATGTTGACAGCAAGTGCATTCTTTTAACAACCCAGGCTCCACTGAGCTTAGCACCTACTTAGCAAGAATAGCTGGCTGAAACAGGACTGCCGTGTCTGCAGCAAGCCCCAGAGACAGGCTGCTGCTTTACTACAAAGCTGATCTGAGGAGCTCTGCCCCGGGCACCACACTGCTCCTGGCAGCTCTGCGGGTCCGGCCGTGAGGACGGCGCAGCCGTGGACGGGGACGGGCTGCAGCAGCACCCTGGGGGTGGGGGCACTGCATCGAAGGCAGAGCCGTACAGCCAGCCTTGGTAACCCTCTCAATAATCTCCAAAATCGTAGTCCCACTTTCAAAGACTGCCACGCACACCGCAGTCTCTTCACCATGAGAAACTGTACTGCTGAATGCGCTTTTCCACCCTACCCCATTCCATCCCAGATCCTCACTCACACCTGCCCTCCACCCCTTAAAGAATCGCACTGGTTTAGAGGAAACGCTGGGACTTAAATTGCTGGACCACTTCACAAACGAGCCCGGATCCTTGTCTGCCTGGGGAGACCTGTGCTACTGGGAATTGCATTAATAGGACAAATCGATTCTACTTCATGAGAAACTTCGTATTGTCAAATGTTTCACTGAAAATAAAGTGGAGTCAGTGAGGGAAAGGGGTTGGCTGATGCCCCGAGTCCGAAGATGTTGGTTATGTATTTCCTGCAGCGGTTTGTGCTGGCTGAGTTGTTTCTAGCTCCACATACAGCTACAGACACTCGCCGTCACGAGCAGATGCCGTATTGGGTCCCATCAGCTCAAAAGTGATGGTCTTTCCGGGCCCACCTGAACTTAGCACTGTTATCAACTTTCCAGTAAGATGCCCAGCTTTGAGGTGCTGGGCTAGAGCCAGCTTTTTTGGAAAGGAACTCCTGCACACCACCCAGGAGAGCAAGCACAGAGGGCCCCGGAGGGACCCCTGCTGCGCACAAGGGCTGGAGCTGGACGGCCGTGCTGTCCTCTGGCCGGCAGGCTCAGGCCAGGCCATGGGCGAGCCCCTCCCCCGGAGAGCCGGCCCAAGCAGGGCCCAGCAGGATCGCAGAGCCGTTCTCACCACAAGGACAAGCAAACAAGAGTCCCCAGCTGGACGCTGAGGCTCGAAAACACTCAGCGGCAGATCACATGCATAGCTAGGAATCTTGCAAAATCTAAACAGGATGCAAACTGCTGAGCTCTTATTCTCCAGGAGGGGGAGAGACAATATTTTCCTAACAGGTCAAGAGTGTTGCTCAACACGTCTTAAGCCCAGTTCCTGGAAACGCTGAGGCTGCTTACCCGGAACGCCGCTTTCCTCCACGGGCAGGCATGGCCCCGGCCATCCTCACCTGTCCAGTGGCCGCCATGGGGGCAACGGGCAGTGTCACCGATCCAGGGATGTCCGAAGCCATTTCTGGAATTCAGCGAAGAAGAGAGGTTTTGTTAATGGCAGAACAGGCCAGGGACAAGCCAGGAAACTGTCCGAGGGACCAACGGCACCACCTGGGAGAAGAGCGCAGCGACCCGGGGCCGGGGCCCGTCATTAGTCACGTGACTCGGGTGCGCCCTTCCCGGTCCGGCTCTGCCTTTCTCCTCTGGAAAAGGACATCCCTGGGCAGCAGTCCCATATTTAGTTTAGGGGGTAAAAAAGAGCTAACTTAGCAGCCCTCATAAAGGACTCTTGCCACCTGAGGCAGGTAAGACACGCAGGAACCCAGGCACACAGCCAAAACCTAAGGGGAGAGTACCACCACTGCTCCCAGCTACTGGTGGGGCACAAACCCAGAGCGTCTGGAGAGCCAGTCCCCTGCAGCAGCACCGTCCTTACCCCGCAGCTGATGCTCTGGCCTTACCCTGGGCATCTGTATTCAAGCAGAAAGGCTGTTCCCCATCCTAAGTTTGCACTCAGAAGCCCGGAATATAGAGCCCTGTCTGGCCTTCCATTCATGGTGAGGACAGCAAGGTCCAGAAGCCTTAAAAGCATCACCTCTGGCCACTTGGTGAGCCAGTGACAGTGGCTCTCCACAGCCAGGCTGTTCCGGGAAGAAATGTTAATTTAAAGAACAAGAAGGTCAGGCATTAGATGAACGCACCTTCCCTGTGCGTCGTTACCATGATATATTACCGCTTGCAAGCCAGAAACCTTACGAAGCTCATGAAGACGAAAGTGAGCCTCCCTAACTTCACAGAGGCCACGCAGTGCAAGTGTCCCCTTCGCGCTCTGCGGAGCCCTCTCCTCAGAACATGAGATGGCAAGAACGACCTCAAGAGGCCTCTCTGGTCCTGTTCATTGTTCTTGGGAATGAGTTCCAGGACTTGCTTTTCTCAGCCCAGCTCTTCCCTTGGGCAGAAGGGAAGCAACAGTCTACGAAAACGTATCTCAGAAAAACAGTGTGGGACAAATACGAGCATCTGGGCCCTGGTGAGTGAAGGGGTGTCTGAGTGCCCAGAAGCCCTGCAGGCACATGACAGCTGGCCCACAGCTCCGTCCAAAGACTTCGTGTTTACTAAACATATTCTAAGGTCAGCTTGAACTAGTCCACTCAAAACTTCTGAAGAATTTGACAGTACTAATAAACAAAATCTTAATTTAGCTGTTTTACTATGTTCACAAACATTCGAGAGCTATTATAGTTTGTTTTTTTTTAAACCAATGTACATGCTGGAAAGTACCCAAGGGAAAAATCCCTTTCTTAAAGTAATCCTCTCTTTAGATAATTACTGTACTGGATTCGTGACAGCTAGACAGTGTTCACAGCAATGACCTCATAACCTTATCATCTGCCTGCTTCTGATAAGAAATCTGTATTTTTTTTCTAAAATGGAGGCTAAAGGACATTAAGTCCATTAAATCCCAAAACTGAAGGGCTGAGTCATTGCCAGTGTAAACGTGGGTGAAAAACAAAGTCACCATTTCCCAAAATAAGTCCCACAGAACATCAGGCCCTTAAGATGTTCAAGGAAAAGGATTCCATAGTCAGACAGGTTAAGGCGAAGCCACACATTATCCCCTTTCTCAGAGATTCCAGCGTCCACTGAAAACACACTGAGAAGTGTTAATACAGGGAAGTATGTGTAACTGTGACTAGCCCAGCCTATCACAAAGGTCTCTGACTGCGGGACTTACAAAGGTGCTGTCTGCAGAGCCAGCGTTCCACGCCACACGAGGTTACGTATCTTAAGGTCAACCACCTGTCCCCCACCTTGGAGTGAAGGAAACGATGGGCTGGAAGAGGCCTTGCCGTCTCTGCAGACAGGGAAAGGCCGCCCCTTCCCTGCCTGGGGCGGGCACGGGGAGGAGGGCAGAGGAAGGTGGGCGGCAACGTGCAGTCAGGAAAGAAGGTGATACTCGGCCCATTTTATTTCAGTTACAGATGGTAAAACTTCACAAAACCTTGGCTCTGGGGCAAGGGCTGAGGAACCCAGAAAGCCCAGTCCTTCCCTCGGACAGACGAGGGGAGCAAGGAGGGAGCAGCCCCGGGACCTGCGCAGGCGCCCACAGCGGGCCGGGCCGGGCCGGGCAGGCCCAGCCTGGCGGGCCTCAGCCCCTCCCTCTGCTCCCTTGACCCCATCCCATGGGTGAGGGCTGTGGGCCCAGAAAAGGGGCCAGCCCTGTGGGGGCAGGCCTTCAGGCAGCCTGCCTCCCTCCATCAGGCCCCACCTCTGCCCTCCCCTGCCCTCCAGGCCTGCTGCAGAACAGCAGGCTCGCGCCGACAGCGGACACAGGCGGTGTCTACCATGGAGAAGGCGTCCGCGTCCTGAAGGCGGTGTGGTGGGTGTGCTGAGAGCTGCCGTCCTTCCAGGGGCCGGGCGTGTGTCATAGAGCCAGTGCACCAGACGCGGGGAGAGGAGCCAGGGGGCCTTATATCCAAATGCCTCAATATGATTTGAAAATGAGAGGCTCACACGCATCCCCAGCAGAGGAGGCTGCCCCAGCAGTATGGGGAGAAGGCTGCTCACCATCCACGATGTCCACACCTCCCCCCCGCCCCCACCGACACAAGAAGCATTTCTAACAAGGCCTGACTCTCATTCCAGTTCTTCTTTTTCTCTTACAAACTCCATTTGTGTATCTTGTACCCATTTCTCCACTGAGACTCAAAGGCTCTTTCTTATCTATCTGTATGATCCTTTTTATAATGGACATATTAGAGCTTTTCCATATTTTCTGAAAATACTTTACAACATTTTTTTTTCCAGTCTGCCACTTGCTTTTCAGGTTGAAAGATTTTTTTAATACTAAAGAAAGCTTTAAGAGGTAGAGTTGTAAGAAGATGTATTGGCCAGCTGGGGTTGTCATAACAAACTACCCCAGGCTGGGTGTCCCAGACAACAGAAATGTATTTTCTCACAGTCTGGGGACTAGCGGGTCCAAGATCAAGGTGCCAGCTGATCTGGTCGCTGGTGAGAGCCCGCTTCCTGGTTTAGAGATAGTCATCTTCTCTCTGTGTCATCAAATTTTCTCTTCTTATAAGGTCACCAATCCTAAGGCCCTGCTCTTATGACCTCATTTAACTTTAACTACCTCCTACAAGCTCTGCCTTCAAATACAGTCACGTTGGGGGTTAGGGCTTCAGCACACGAATCTGGGGTGGATACAGTTCAGTCCGTGGCAGAAGAAAAGATCAATTGTTCCAAACGCGTTTATTCAGGAGTCCTTCCTATTCCCTACACACTTTTTTGATGCTCCCTCTGTTCTGTATTTTATTTGCCAATAGAAAATGTGTCTGTTTCTAGAATATCTTTTTTGGGGGATCAATTACCTAGTTTATCTACACTCACTCTAGAACTGCACCACTGTAACACAGTGATGCAAGTTTCTCTCGCTATCCTCATCTTTCAGCATTATCTTTGATCTTCTTCCTGGCTTATTCTTCCATTTAAATTTTAGAATAAGTTGATTATGATAGAAATTTTAACCTCCTTTGGGAACTAACTGCATTTTTGTGAACTTACAAATAAATCTTGGAAAAAAGTGACATTTTTGCAATATTTAGAATCTTCAACCAAGAACTGATATATGCCTATCATTTACTCAAGACTTCCTTTTGAGCTCAGTGAAGTTTTTTATTTTCATCTTATAGGTCCCCAAAATGTCCCATGCAGTTTATTTCTAGGTACCCTGTGTTGTTATGATGTGACAATGTGCTGTGTACTATGATCACTGCTCCTAGTGAATGGGCTCTCCCTTCCCAGATTATTTTCTGACTGCTTAGTAGATAAGAAGACAATTGTGCTACATCCATCATAACTCATGTCAAGTGATCTGACCAGCAGCTAAGGCAGGTGTTGCCCTCCCCTCCTTTGCTGTTCTATGTATGTGTTACCTTTTAAAATCTGCGTGCCTGTTTAAAAAGTTTCTAGGGCCACTATCATGTGTCCTGCCATTTCACCAAATCCTTTTATTTGTTCTAGTAATTTTTCATTAATTTTTCTGAATTTTCTAATTTTATAAATTCTATGGCTTACAAACAATGATACTACATTCTCACTTCAAACAGTTAAATGTTTAATTTCTTTTCATGTCTTATTTCATTGGCCAGAACTTCCAGAATATTCAGTAATAATGACTAATAGCTAGGTAACAGAAAGGCCAGGGGGGTTTTGCAGTGAAACATACCTGGTTTCAAATCACAATTCAAACATTTCCTTACGATAATCTAAAGGATCATTTTAAAAATTAATGATAATGTATGTAAAGAGCCTAACAATGCTTAGGAGGAAAAAAACTTCGCTCTAGCAACAATGATTAAAATTTTCATGATTATGTGATGGTAAGCAAACTTGCTTAGTCCTTGAATTTAATTGTAATGACCTGACGGTTGAAGACAAGATGTGCTTTATGACGTCAAGGAAATCTGTTCCTATCCCTATTTCTTAGTTTATTTAAGGAACGGATGTTTCATTTTATGAAAAACCATTTTGGTAACTAAAACAGTATTTTGGATGCCAAAGAAACCAAGTGAAAGATGCAATCAGTGAGACTAAAATTCACTTTAAAGGTTAAACTTTTCCCTTATGTCTTTTAGAAGCCACTCAATACATTCAAATAAAAATATAAAAAATACGTCTCTCTCCTCTGTAATCTATGTCCATACCTACCAATGAAATCAGCCATCAGCCTCTCTTGGAAAAGTGACTACCTGCTCCCCAAATCTGGCAACTTTTCCATGTGACATGAATATAAGTTAGCAAAGCTCCTGGGAGAGCCACCCAGGAAAGGCGGCCAGAGGAAGGTCACTCACCAGGTCAGAGGTGAGGGTCTCCAATGCAGAGCCTGGTATTACATGGAGCAGAGAAGGCAATGCATTTAGATGGAAAGTAGCCCTGTAAGCCCGTGGTTGATTTGCTCTAGGGTTGTGAATTTCACACCAAAGTGAAGAAAAGCAGAACCTTGACTACAGCCCTGGCTCAGACACCTACCAGGTGGCCATGTGGCCACAGTCATGTCCTGCGCCTGGGGGTGGACACCAACACAGCCTTCGTGGAGGAGACAAGAGACATTAAATCACCTGCGCCTTGCAAGAGGATTCTGGGGCTGTGTGTGTGTGTGTGTCTGTGTATTTGCTATACGCACAGGACAAGGCTGAAAGGCAGATACAAGTACACCGATGAGTTAAACTTGACTGTTTCCCACCAAAGTGCAAAACGTGGCTATTTCTGTTGTGGGAATTATAGATGGGTTTTATCTTCTCCTAAAAGCTCTTTCTGTTTCTGAATATACTGGGGTTTTTTTCAATGAACATGTGTTAATTTAATGTTACTCTAATGATGTGTTAATGTAAAGACCACAGATAGAAAATAAACATTTTAAAGGGTTCATTGTAAGAACAGTAGAAAGCATACATAACTGGAGAGTTAGACGCAGTGAATGAACGAGACAGAGATAAAGGAAGGGGACACTCTTTTCAATAACAGGAGTGTCCAGCCAGGGAATGGGCGGGCTTAATAATGACGATAAGCACTTCATACAAAAATATTTAGAATATTGTATAAAAGTAGTAAGATTTGGGCTGGGTGCTAACTATGTTCCGAGCTCTTCACATGTGCTCTGCGTGCAGCCTGCAGGATGGGTACAGGATGCGACCATTTTACAGAAGGGAACGTGGACAGAAAGAGGTCACATGGTGGTCCAGCCACAGAGCAGGTTTTCACCATGTAACCACCCGCTGCAGGGCCCTCGTCCCTCCCGGTGCCAAGACCGAGGCTGGTGGCCAGAAGACCCCTTCCCGGGTCGAGTGGAGGACAACAGGGGACGTCCTAACTCCAAGAATGAAAAATCACAGGCCCAGGTAGAAGTTGTGGGACGTGCAGGAAATGTTCATGATTTGGGGTCACTCTAACTGCGGGGTCCCGGCTAAGCTATTTATCATCCCTAAGCTTTGGATTGCTCACCTATAAAAATAAGGAAAACACCTGCAGCACGCACAGTGGTCATTGTGGGGGTTAAGGAAGATCACTTATTTAAGATGACCAACAGAAGTAATTGTCCCGCTCCCCTTTCACTTTCCCAAGGAAAGAATGCCTTTTAAAAGCAGACACTGTGTTTAAAAAGAGAAAACATTGCCTAATATTGAACCATCTTTAACCCCCAGAGTGAGCCCCCCTTCATTATGGTTCTTTCTTTTAATGTGCTATTAAAGGAAATGCCTTTCTTTCTCTTTTTGTTTTTTTAAAAGCAGACACTGTGTATGTGTGTGTGTATTTTTACATAACCCTTGAGCAAATAACTTAACCTCTCTGTCCCTCAGTCTTCTATCTACAAAATGGGCCTAATAATAAACAGAAAATACCTCGTGAGGTTGCTCTGAGGATTAAAGAAGCTAAAATTTGTAAAGCACTTAGAATGATGCCCAGCACACAGTCAGCACTTTTCAGTGTCTGCTAAGTTAAACACACACACACACACACACACACACACACACATAGAGATACTAACAAAACTTATGATCATGTTCTTATTGTAAGGAGTTAAGTCACCTCTGTCATTTTGTTTTTGTGGCTCTGTCTCAGAGGAGTGCAGAAAAGGGGATGGGGCCACAGAAGGGGGTGTGGCCATGTGACTGACTCCTCAACAGCCCCCACTCATAAAATGTTCCCCAGGGCGATGCTGTTGCAAAGGGAGGCAAAGGGGGGCTGCTCCCACCCGAACGGCAGCCCGAGTCGTGGTTCTCGTCCTGTGCTGGCCTCACGATGCCTCCCTACACAGAGTTTAGCCTTTACACTGGCTGCTCCACCGCATATCACAGGGAGGGGGCAGCAGACAGGCCCTGCGTGTGCCTCCACCATCCGCCCCTGACCTCCACCCCGAACCACGTCCCCTTGGGTCTTCACATACACAAACACACACACACACACACGCCCCACCCTGGACTGACGTGGACACAGCGTCTTCCTTGCTGACAACATGCTCTCTCCCATGTAGAGCTTCATCTGAGCAGGTGCACATGTCCTCGTCACAGCCCAAGGACCCCACGGCCCCACGCAGCCTTCAGAGAGTTGACACAGGCCAGCAAGGGAGCCTGGAAACCCTGGACAAATCATCCATGCCCTCTCGACTCTGGTTCCCTTTGGGCAACCCTAGCGGACACCTGCAAGGAATTCAACTGAAAGGGCAGTGAAGGTCACAGTCAGCCCCTGGACTTTCCCACGCAGTTGAGGGCTGACCACACTTCAATAGGAGAGGCTCTAGCACCGCACAGGGACACGACTGCATCCTATCGATGAGAACACCAAGCATTCAAATTCAAATCAACCTTAAAAATGGATGAGGGACTGTCAACTGTACCAGGAAAAGTCGCCACGTGTGGCAAAGTCACTGCTCCCTCTTCGTGTTCCCCTCAGGGTCTGCTCATCTCCCATTCTCCCTGCAACCCCCGGCGATCAAGCCTCTGTCTCTGTCACCCCACTAGGAAGCTGCCATTATCACAGGGGTCACATCTTACGAAGGCAAATGGTCCCCTCTCTGCCCCGGCCGTCTCAGTGGGATGCAGCTCCCCACACCCCATCACCAGCCCTGTCTCCTGTGTTCACAGGGCCACATCCCCTCCCTTCCAGCTCACAAGCCTCTCCTGCTTGCCTCCTTTGCAAGCCCCCCTCCTCTACCAGACCTCCAAGCAGCTACGCAGCTTCCTCTTCCCTACTTATCCTCCCTCCAGGGGAACTCACTAAGGCACTGGCATCCAGACCATTTCTCTGCTGATGATTCCCAAATCCGGTCATCAAGTCCTGCTGTCACCTCCTAAAGGTCTCTCCATACTCTGGGTTCTGCTGCTGGCGTACTGCAGGACCTCCCTTGGTCTCCCTGCCACTGCTCTCCACACAGGAGCCTGATCTGACCGGGCCCGCCCTTGCCTGTATCCTCCAGCAGTTTCTCTCTGCTCTGAGCACACATGTGGAGTTCCTGCCATTATCAGTCAGTTCCTGTGTAGTCAGGCTGCTGTCCACCTCTCCTGCGCCCCTCTCCGGCTCTGGCCACACTGCCCTATCAGTTTTATGAACACATCATGTTCCCTCCTACCTCAGGGCCTTTGCACATATGTCCTGAGGTCAGAAAGCTCTCTTCCCTCTCTTCACCAAGTTAACTCCTAACAGACTTTTAGATTCAACTCAAACATCACTTTCCAAGGAAGCCTGTCCCTGGCCAATCCCATCCCCTCCCGGTCTAGGTCTGGTCCCTGGTGACTCATTCGCATTGTACCTGTACTTCTGTGAATGAATGCAGGTCACAGCGGTCCAGGTGAAAGATGACAGGACCTGAAAGATGGAGCTGCAAAGAGGGCATTCAGGAGGAAGGAGATGATGTCAATGCCTCAAAATACATGATGTGTCACCGTCACCGCCCAGAAAGGGAAGGTTCTAAAAAGCCTCGGTCACCTGATCCTCCTACACTGAGACTGAATGGGGCAAAAAAATTTCTGGAGGAGGAAGAAAAATACGGTTGGGTTGGTTGGATGTAAATACATCTACCACGCCATACACAGGATACCTGAGGGCTGTGGCAAGTAGAGGCGTGGGCACTTATGCCTTTCTCCATCCACTTGTTCAGCGGGCCAGGTGCTTAACAGGCATCCAGTTCTAGACCTGGCTTTATCACTACGTGACTCAGTTTCTCCAACTATTCTCCAACTAAGAAATGGGGTTAAGCAGGACATCCCTTTCTTCGGCAGAAGCTGCTGTAAGAAAATGGGACCTGTTTCAATTATAAGCAACATTTGCCAAGTTCTGACTCTGTGGGATGCAGCTCCCCATGCCCCATCACCAGACCTGTCTCTATATTAGAAGGAGCTATATTAGAAGCCGGACAGTTAGAGATGAAAGGACCCCATCTGGCCTCTGAAAGATTCAGTCTTGAGTGTGATGGAGATATGGAGCCAGGTAATTTCATACTGAGAGCTGTGTGCTGTGCAAGAGATTGGACACTCGATTGTGGGAACAACTGGGAAGATCCAAGAAAGCTTCCTGCAGGAGGCCACACCTGTGCTATCCTGGCAATGGATGGCAGAAACGCTTTAGGGAGGAATGAAGCATGATATAAAAGATGCCCTTTTCCTGAACGTATTCCTTGGATTGCTCCAGAACTTCCGAGTAGACTCATTCATGCCCCTGCTGTGAGGGGCATGCCCTCTTGTTCACGTCCAGTCACTGGAGCTTTCTGGCCTCTTACCCCAGCTGCAACTCCCGACAGGACCTGGAATTATTTGCCCACCTCAAATGCAACCCTCTTGTATAGACCCTTGCTCAGGGTCCCTGAGCATAATCAATGACAGATGCACAAATAGACTGAAATCTCTCTCTCTACAGCAGTCCCACCCCGCACGCAAGTATCTCCCCCAGAAATATCGTTTCCCTTCACACACGGGGACGGAATGACGGCCTGCCCTTACCCAAGGCTGCAGGCAGGTTTTCAGTTCATTTCAACATCAGGACAAACTAAGGATTTTGAGAGCTTCACCATAATACAGAGAACATATCTGGCTTATGATGCAGCATCTAGCCAAACACTATTTCCCATTTCCAATGCAGACATATTGTGCAGAATTCCTAAAATACAGAACAGGCAGCAAAAACCTGGGGGAAAATGTGAAACTTGAGAGCGTTACAGATGAAAAGAACATGAGGGAATTTTTTTAAATTTTGCTTCTCCCCTCACCCCCATTACCTTATGTGCCTTTAAATACGAAAAACACCCCTTGATCTTCACATTGGAAAAAAAAATCAATGACATGCAAACTTTCACAATACAATAACATAATATGTTAATAACCATTCAAATAAAACCCCAAACGGGTCTCTCCATGGTTGGGAGGGAGGGAGGGGAGGCAGCTAACTCAAGAAAAACCCTCTCCTCGCTATTCATCTCTCTTAAAACAATTCTTTTCACAGAAAGCACATCAAATATCAGAGCCCTACCTTTTCAGAGGGATTAAACAAAGATCTTTCTTCCTTATGACCAACACCTTCTTGGGAGAATCTGTTATCCGTGTAGAAGAAATGTCAGAAACCTCTGGGAGGAAATGAGCTGCATTTGTATTCCGCTCAGAAAATGTCATCACAGATCTGTTTACCTTAACTGTGGACCATGATTCAGCCGTGACAACTGTCTTGCATACTGATCAATTTATTTGCAGCAAAATTTCTAACGTTAACTGCTTAGGTTCTGAAAAATCGGTGACTTGGATTTCTTGTGCAACCACAGTATATGTTGGAAAAATCTAGACTGTTAGCCAAACATTACCAGGAGGGATCAAAAAGGGCTCCTCCTGACATGCAAGTGAGGAAGGGTCCCTCCCACTTCTGGAAGGAAGGCAGGGCACATGACTCCCAAAGGCCCTCTGTGGGGTGGGATTTTTGTAGCACAATCTACAGAAAAATCATCAGACTGAGAGCCCAGGAGACTCTGACTCCTGGCCCTTGCTAGACTTTAACCAGCTGTGCATTCTCTGTAAGGCGTCCCTCAGCCAAAGGCAGGCTGGGTGGGGGTCTCTGCAGAAGAACAGGAGGGAGCAGGCGTGGGCAGAGATGGCCAACGGACTCAGGAAAGGAGGAAGGGGCCAGGTCCTGCCTCCATCAGTTGGTGCCGCCCGCCTGGACACGGAGCCCTGGCTGTGGGCCTGAGCCACTCACTCTCAGCAAGCAAGCAGGTTTGGCATTAGGGAACTGGAACCATCCCAAGGCAGCCTGGAGAGATGCCCTTCAACCTCAGCTTGCAATGCTGGCTTGGGCAAAGCCCTGCTCCCTGGCTCGAGTGGGCATGTGTCCTGGGGAACGCGGGCATTGCAGCAGAGCCACGAGGGTGCTAGCATCCACGTTCCCAACGAGTGTCCACGCCCACCCCGCTGGCCAAAGCCCCGGCATCCCTGCACCGAGCTTTACACAAAGGGTGAACACGCAGAACGAGCAAGAAGACAGGCACGAGCAATTCAGCAGAAGAAAGGGAGGGAGGGTACTGTTGAGGCTGTGACTCTGGAGCAAGACAGTAAGAGCGAACTCCGCACTCAACCCGGCCCCGCTCTGTGAGACGACAAGCAAGGGCCACTGTTAACCGCAGTGGGACCTCCTCCTACGACCTGTCTCATGCTTGCATCCAATACAACAGCTGGAGCCCATGAGAGGAAGGTGGGTCTCATCAGCCAGGCAGAAGCAGGCTAGAACACCGGGGTGGAGGGGACAGGCTGCCCCTAACAAGATCTTAAAGGGAGCCTCAGCTAAAACCCAGGCTGTGGCCCACCGCGGCCCGAGTCGTCAGGGTCGGAAGCCCAGAGCAGCAGGACAGACCTCGAGGAGAAGGTGCAGGGTGTGTGTGGGCTGGTGGTGGAAGAGCTCGCAAGGGGGCTTAAAGCTTTGATTCTCCGCGTCCAAAAACACAAGAAAGAGCCATGAGATGGTGGAGAGTTCAGATGCCACCCTGAGGGGAACCTGCTGAGGAGACATACTGGTCTGCTTGGAGGAGCGTCCTTGAGGCAGGAGGAGAGACGAAACCGTCTTCAAGTCTGTGAGAGACCTTCCTGTATAAAACGAAAGAGGCCGGTTCTCGATTACTGCAGAGGCTTTGGCGTGGTGGCCAAGGATACGAAGGGTAAGGAAGAAAATGAATGACTCAGATGCGTGCTGAGTGTCCAAGTACAGTTTGAAGTTGAACAGAAACCAAATGAACTAAAACGTCTGACATAAACCCAAAAGCTAATAAATTATGGAATACCCACACAGATAAAAATCACTCAGCCATTAAACACCACGATTTGAAAGCATAATGTTACAGGGAAATGTTAAGGGTACATTAACAGAGCAGGATACAAAATCTTACAGGCAAACACGTTTGTCTGGGAATCCATCAAAATTCAGCTTCAGCACTGTATTTACCCTACTGTTTGGCCTTGGCTTTGGGATGAATGCCTTGGCCTTTGAAAGGACAAGCAGCGGAATACCTATTTCAGGATGGTTTCTGGCATCGCTGAACCTGTGCGTAATCAATGCCCCTATGATCACATGGGTCACCGTCACGTCTGCATCGATAGTATGTCAACAGCAGTACCACGGACCAGGCATGCACATGGACTTACTGTTCAGGCCCGAAGCTTCACTTTCAGATATGAAGAGGCATTCCAGGTGAGCTAAGATCGAAAGTCTCCCTGTAGGTAAGACATGTTTCAGTTCTCCCAGTCCGATAGTTTCATGATACACCACTGTAGGAGTATAATGCGTGATAATTCATGCCCATAAGGTGAAAGCTATTAATTTTATGTGCAAAACTTATTAAGAACTTTCAAATACTTAAATGTAAGAGAAAATGGGGGAATAATACAAATATTGAGAATGCATAGCTTGCTGCCTTTAGACCATTCTATCTTCTTTAAGCTAAGATGGCAAAAGAACCATAAATAATACTACAAAGCAGAATAAAAGAGATCATCAGAGTAGGCTATCATCAACATCTACGTGGAGTTGTTTGGTATATGTACTGACCTATGGAGCAATAAAAAATGTACCGGGATTTAAAATTTTTTATAGTTTTTTTATTTAGGTCGTGCATATTTCAAAAAAATTGTTATTTGGAAGTTTTCGTATCTGTACAAGGATGAATTAATCGTCGACTTTGCTGCCTGAAAACCGTCAAAATCAAGTGCATCAAGATGATCTGTAATAAGTCATCATCAATCTAGATGCAATTAAGAAAACAAAGTGTGAAAAGAAAAGAAAAGGTTAGGGAAATATGAAGTACCCCCAGTAGCGCTTGTTTCTCCACCAAACTCAGTTTCAAACGAACATCTATTTAGTGTCACCGACTGCAGTGTGACGGCCAGGGAGCACTCAGCGGGGACAGTGCCCGGTGCCCAGATATGCCCCTTCCTGAGCTGGACGTCAGACGTTTACAGTGTGACTGCCACCTATAAACAACAGTAAAATCGTCATAAGACCAACTACATTAAAATGTCAGATTTTCACTCAATGATGGTGACACTCAGCTCCAGCCTCAATGACAGCCAAACGCTGACTTTGATGCTCACAATTCAGCATTAGGTCCAACTGATGTAATTCAACGCACCTCTAATAGGTACACACAGTAGGGAGAGAAAGGCTGTGTGTGCGCTCGCGTGCGTCTTGGGGTAAATACACTAAAAAGGGGACAAAGCTAATACCTGAAGAGTTAAGATTACCTATTATTTTTATTTCCTACGTATCAATTTCTATAATCTCTAACTTGTTAAAACTTAGAACACAGTACTCTTATGAATAGAATGCAATGCAGGTGGGTGAACAGAAAGCAAAAGAGAGATGCAGGATGCTGGACCCCGTGGGCAGGCTACTTGGGCGCCCGAAACAGAGCTGGGGAGGCGGAATGGAGGCCAGCAGCTGGGAAGTCGTGCAGCCACCTACAGCTCACCCGGGAGAAAGCGAAGGGGCGGTGGGAGGGGAGCAGGCATGGTTCCAAGACGAAGTATGTGCTGAGCCCCCCAGCAGGGTCGTGACAGAAGCATCATCGTCCCAGTTCCCCGGGGGGGCTTGTATTTATTAATCTTCTGATCAGAACAGTAGTCAATGTACACGATAAACAATCCGAAATACTCAGGCCAGTGTAAGGAACGAGGAGCTGAGGCCAGACAAGAGGAGGGAAGAACAGGAGAAGAGAGGCAGAGAAGGTGAGACTCCAGCCAAGAAGTATCAGGAAAGTAGTCATTCGCGGTGAGGGAGGTGCTGCCGCCAGCTCAGACGTGGGGCAAGGGACAGCAGTGGCCAGAGGGACGTGCGTGTCCCACCAGGGGGCACTTCTGCCCCCTCCGCAATCCCTGACTTCTCCACGCCGCCGAGCGATGGGGAGCGAAGGCCCACATCCTCCCCCAGAGAGGGGACCCGTTATGCCACTTGGTACCACTCAGAGACGCAGCCGGGTCCTAAACTCAGGGCCATCCCCTCCTTTCAGAGGTGTCCACGCTTGCCCGGTACCAGGCCCAGCGCAAGGCCTGAAGACAGAGAAGGATGGAGCCCTGAGGTGAGGACAGGAAGGGCGAGGGGTGCATGGGAAGTGACACCCAGGTAAGTTCCGAGCCTGACGGGCACTGAGTGGCAGCCGGCGGGAAGGCCCAGGGGCCCTGGGGGCGGCAAGCTGGCGGGTTTGTGGTGGGCACAGTTTAACCAGTCAGCAACAGACAAGGCGAGTCAGACTTGAGTCTCACAGATGCTGCGTCCTCACTGATCATCACCCAGGTGAGGACACCTTTGAAGGAGAGTGGGACAAACAGCAAACCAGACCGCATGCCGCCGTGTGCAGATCAGGGAGGAGGTGTTGGAGCTTCGCAGGCCACAGGCTCTGAGGTTACGCCACCAAAGGCGGCGGGCTCAGGGGAGACGGGAAAACCAACCATGTGCCATTTGTACAGTCGAACGAGCCAAACCGTAGCGAAGCTCCCAAGTCAGAGTCCTTTCCGTCGGGAAGCTCTTGGGACGCGTTCCTTCTGGGGACAGCCCAGAGCCAGGAAGAACAAGCCCAAAGGGGACAGAGCCGGGGGCACCGCAGATGCCGGGTGTCCAACCTCAGTTTGACACGTGAGTCACTTCAGGCTCTCCTTCCTGGCTCCCGGTGTGTCTGAAGGGCTGGGGTCGGCCTGATCCTTCAAGGATATTAATCGTGACTCTGGGGTTTTTCTCTACTGTGATGGTCTTTTGCTTTAGTGACACAGAGAAATAATCAGAATCAGAAGGGTGAGAATGAAGCGCTGTAATGCCCCAGCCGCCCACCCAAGCCGCCTGCAGCCTGGCGGGCCCCGGGGCGGGGGTGGGGCTCGGGCGTGCACGGGAAAGCCTGCGCGCCTCTCCCGGGCCATCCCCACGGTGAGAGCAGCCTGTCCGGCTCTGTGCTGGGCCCTGTCCTGCATGCTGCGTGCTGCGTGCTGTGTGCACAGGGATGAATCCCACGCTCTCCCGCCCCAGACCGTGTCCCAGGGGATTTTCCCCCAGCCAATACTTCCCTC